CAGCACGGCTTGAGTGGTACACGCTTCCGAAATGTTGAAGAAGTGCGAGAATGGGTGGACGAATGGATTGCTTCGAAACAAACATCGTTTTATCGAGATGGTATCGCCCAGTTGCCAGAAAGATGGCAAAAAGTTGTAGAAAGTGATGGAAAATACTTTCATTGAAATAATTTAAATAAATTTTTTACAATAAATGCTTTTTCTCAGTATTTTTTGGGCGGAAACTAAGTTAAGGTCCTAATACAAGCGGACCACACGGCGACACACGGCCCGCTAAAAATCGGAAGAGATCATGCAGTGGAAAAATGACGGCGGAAAGTCCCGTCAGGCGAATTCGTATAATCACCCGCAATTTTCTTCAATCTCGGGAAAATTGCGTGATATCGTCGCAGGCGATTATCCAATGAAGATTACAATACAATAGCCACGTGAGTTTCGTTCAAACGGAGTAAATTGGAGCGTCGATCTTTTGGGATTCCCTCTCTCTTTCTTTTTCCAACCAGAGATCCTGAGTTGGAATTTTAGTTCTACTATATAAACCTGAACTTTCTAACACATATATTCTGAAGGATCAATATATGCCTAATACATATGAAAACTAAAATCCTATTCCCTTATAGAAATATCATACTAAGAATTATTGATAATTATTTATTTTCAGTATTAAAAATACTGGATAATAAGTAATTATCAATGATTCTTAGTACGATATTTCTATAAGGGCTTAGCACCTCTAAATTGCGGAAAACGCACAAAATGCCGCTTATAGGTTTTAAAAGAAAATCTCTCGGCAAAGCTAGGTAAAGTGGCTAGATAAGAAATAGAATCAACAGAGATTGATATAAGCTTCAGAGTATCAAAGTAAACCTTAAATAGAATATTATGGTAGAAAGTAGAATCAAAATTTCGACTCGGGATATACGAAACTGATTATTATTGTTTATTAACCTTTCCACATTTTTTCCAAAAAGTGTTAAATATAAGTGTATATGTTGTTACGTATAGAAAAGTAAGTTATACAATGCAACGCGAAATGAATTTTTAAACTCACTGCGGGACATAATCCGACAAAAGGATTAACAAGTCGGGCTTCCTTGATTCACCTCGCGGCCGTTTCCTTTCCGATATCGATGCCGACATGCGATTACCCATATTTCGCCGCGATATTTCGCGGGCGAACGCGCGACACGCGGAATTTGCATATTCACGCGCCATGTGTGCCGTTGTACTGCATTCCGCACTGCGCATGCATCCCCCGCGGCTATATTTAATCCGCGGTGGGTGTATTTTCGAATCCGCCGAACTAAAAATAACCGGAACGCGTTCCGCTGCATTCCATCGTTGTATTTAGATCCAGCGCTTCGTAATACGCGGCGCCGCGCGCAAATACGAACGTAAGAAGCCCGCGTATATCGAAAGGATACTTCGACCGGATCTCAAGTAAAGCGACGACGACAGGAAATGATGAGGAATGGACAAGTCCGTTATTCTGCGAGCTGCATCACGTCTCGAACGATTTTGGTAAATCAATAGATCTATTCTGTAAATTTTAACAACAGTTTCTTACATGAATATCATAGAGAAGTGACTATAAAACCGGAAAATTTTCCATTTGAAATAATTTTGTTATTCTCTAAATATTCTTGTGTTAACTCGGAGAAAGAGTTATTCTAGTTAGAGATATTCTGATATATTGTTTACAGTTCTCTCTCTCTCTCTCTCTCTCTCTCTCTTTCTCTGCAAAGCAAATTACGAGTTTGACACATCCGCAATAAACTGTCTTTGGTGAATAATAATGTTTACGAAGGTACACAGAAGGACACAAGCGGCGAACAAGACGATCAATATCGTGAGAAGAAGACGATTGTAAACGAAAAAGTAAAACCGTCTCTATTCGTCAAGCTTCCTTCTGCTTATAGCTGCGAGAAGTGTTACAACGAGACGGGTTTCCCCGGTTTGAAGGGTATATTTTAATTTTGGTGGCAAGCTCTTCAACAATGTTTCAGTTAAAATTTTTGCCCGAGAAATTGTGACCAACTATCATCTTCAAATCTCATCGTATTCGTCTGCATGTTTAGTTTGTTGTACTTCGCGTGGACTATTTGTCGAAAACTTAAACTCGCTTCTACAGCTCGACAATGTCCTTGTATTCGTATTTGTATACAAAATAAGTTCGATAAACGAACAAAGACGAAGCGTGTCGATTAGTAATAATAAAAACCAAAGGAAGGACAAGGCACATGGTAGTTACGAGTTATTCCGCAACGAAGCAAGAAGTAAGAAAAATTCATCTATTAACAAGGATAAACGAACGTTAATGCGTTTGTAATTCATTTCGTGATTAGTCGAAACACTGGACATTCTAGAAATTTAAAATCATTTCATCTATAAATCTGTAGATTCTGTAAATTTTAACGATAATTTCTTACATGAATATCATAGATAAGTGACTATAAAATAATGTCCAAAAAATTTTCCATTTGAAATAATTTCGTTATTCTTTAAATGTCCTATTGTGTTATCTTGGAGAAATGGAGTTATTTTAGTTAGAGATATTCTGATATATTGTTTACAGTTCTCTCTCTCTCTCTCTCTCTCTCTCTCTCTCTCTCTCTCTCTCCCTCTCCCTCTCTCCCTCTTCCTCTCAAATTTAAAATTATTTGCAATGTTTTTATTTCAGGACTTCGTTTATCCCGAAATCGAATTCTGAGTCAGAAAAATGAAAACTTTGTACGTAATTTGCTTGGCGGTTCTTTTTCACTCGATCTCGTCGGAAATCATCGATAATGAAAATGATAAAGTAAGTATAAATATACAAACGGTCGACAACGTGAAATAATTTCGGGGATTCTCTTCCTTTTCGTAATATTTATTAAAAATAATTATTGATAATTAATCAGAGGTAATTATAGAAGTGTAGCTATTTTATGACTATTACTCATATAATTCCGCGCTTCATAGCATTTAGAGCAACGAAACTTCTCGTAGATTCACTTAGATGGTATGCTACAGGTACAAAAGCAATACACAGATAGGTTAAAGACGTTGGAAGAAAGAGTTTTATCGCTTACTAAAAACCCTGAATTTTGCAATATGATGCGTACGTGGTATAAAATGTTAGCCCAGAAAATCTCGAATAGTGACGACAAGGGTGAGAAATATCGATTCATAAAAGCTCGGAAAGGAGTAAATTACACAAAACAATCAAAGAACAATCAGAGAACAATCAGAGAAGCAGAGAATGAAAGGCAATTTCGTGATCCGTTTGAGGCTTTGACTGGCGAATATATTCCTAAACTACTTCGTGAAATAAGTAAACTTACCATTGAATTAATTAGCAAATTTACCAAAGAATTAATTCAGGGTTCAGTAAACGATAATAACCCCAACTCAAATGTCCAACTTAAATGCCCAACTCAAAATTTAAATGAGAGTACTTGTGATGTGTTATGGAATATGGAAAAAATTCAGCCTCCTTTAGGTAAGCAGTGTTTGAATTTGAGCTCGATAGGTTTAATTACCAAATTTCAATCTTTTTGTTTGAACAACGTATATAAATAAATCCAGCGAGGATCGAAACAATTCTCATGCTATTTGATCTTACATCAGATAAAACTTCTTATATCCGTTTTCGATGTGTGTATGTTTATGTTTGCGTGTTTAATATACGAAAATATTAGACGGTTAAACAAGTCCGATATTCATTAGGCGCCATGAATTTATTCGCCATGAATAACTAAAGAATCAATTTTCTTCTTACATACGTTACAAATATATTACTTAAATTTATCAAATATATAAACGAATATTATGAGAATTGTTACGCGAATGAATACGTTGTGAATAAATACGCGAGAATATTTTTACTGACCAATCTGTACGTACCAATCTGCAGAACTCATTGACTCGTTGCCGTCGTGCCTTTGTACATATCCCGGTGGAGATATCATTAAAGTCAATGATCAGAAAAATGCAAAAGAGTATTGGTGGCAAAAAGTTTCCAATACTCAGGACAAATGCGGTCCTACCCACTGCTTGAAAATTGAAGTTGAAAATAATGAAAACATAGTTTCGAAATATTGCTGCTATGATGAAAATTATTCTCTGATAACTCGAGGCCCTAATGCCGGCAATATTCACTATTTGAACACTAGTAACCTTAAGAATTTAATACATAAGGCGTTCAAGTCTTACCCTGCAGTAAAATGTAATATTATGAGGTACGTTACACTTACATGGCGAGCAATTCAAGATTTTATTGCATCTATTTCCTTCATCCTTTTTCTCTTTCCCTTTTGCTTTCATCTTCTTCTCTTTCATCTTTAAGTCTTCTCCTTTTTCTTTTCTTGATCTTTTTTCTCTCTTCCTCCTTATATTAGATTTTCAAAAAGAATAAAAACACAACTTTTTAAAAAAGTTTTGTACGTTAACTATTAAATTCAATTTACATTAATATAAATTAATCTAATTTAATTTCTCTTCGAAGTATAAAATTTAACTAAAATAGAATTTGAATTAAATACAAAGATTAAAATTTTTAAAATTTTCTTTTATTTAAAATTAAATTTTATTATACTCATTCATATTGCAAATACAGATAAGCTATATAATTGTTTGTTAATATGTAGCAAAATACATTATTTATTTTTTATTATAGATTAATTAAAAGCATACCAGTGAGTAATGACAACGGATGTAAAGAAAATCCGTACATGCAAATGGAACATCGAACAAGTAAGACTCCGGGAAAAAAGTTTATATATGAATTTTGTCCATATATAGTTATATATGATCATATATAATTATATATGTCGACATTGAAAAGAATATTATTGTGAAGATACAATTGAAGTAAATGCTTATGTTTATAGTAGCCCATGATGTTGACGTTTAATCGAATCAAATTATGTTTTTCTTTTTTCATTTGACAATTTTCGTTTTATATATTATAACATATATAATTAAATATGATCATATATAAAGTCATATGTATGGACAAAATTCATATATTATCATATATATTTATATATAATTATATATACTATTTTTTTCGCTAGGTATATAATCCAAATAAGGAATACAATCAAAGTAAGGAATACGATACAAATACAAACGAAACTATGAAGGAGAAGATATAACAAAGAAATGTTAAAGTGCAATCTTATCATAACTTTTTCTTTTTCTTGATGTTTCAATTATTGATTACACATATATATGTTTAACATGCATATTCAATTTACTTAATGGACGAAAATATATGAACTTGATTTTATGCAACATATACAAATTTTATTGAATATATAATATTCATAAAATAATCTTCCAAGTAACAAGATAATATCAAATAATATCTTATTGATATTAGAAACGTTATTAAGATATTATTTAGATATTACTTGTGACATCACCTTCCTATTTAGACTTATTCTAATCTCCTAACCCATATTCTCACGTTTATTTCTAAATCTTCTATACTAATCATATTCTTATTAAATTATATGTGTGTGTGTGTGTGTGTACATAGATCGAGGGAAAGGTCCTTATGGATAGGACTATATATTTAGTAGTAGAAGATGTCGGATTGTTACACGAAACATTGTAAAAGCCGGAGAACCGAGAAACCGGAAAAATAAAATACAACTAGAATAGGAACGTAAAAATGATAAGACTATCATTTCACAGATATGTTTTAATTAGAGATGCCCGATTCTTAATCGATTCGATTCTTTCCCTAACAAATTTAGGGAAAAAGGGTTATTCGTGCTGCTTGCATGTTTAATACTTTTCGCTTTTAAAAAGAGATGGACGCCTAATCAGATGCTTGGAAGAAACAATCGAGTTAGTTATCTTGCTTTTACTTCTTCCAAACATTCCAATATACTTTCGTCTGGTTTTAAATATGAAAAGTGCGAAGAATGCAAACAACACGAATAAGCCTATTTTTGACGAAAGAATCGAATCGATTCAGAATTGGGCATCTCTAGTTTTAATGTAACAGCAGTTGCAATCAGGATAAAATTTATATTCACACACATACTCATACACACGTTTTTGGCTGCGTTCAGATATGCACCCCTTACCCGGGTGCACTCTAATACTAGAAGTGCTATAGTGTATGTAACATATACTATAGTGTTTCTAATAGAGTGCACCCGGATAGTGAATCTGAACGCACCCTTTTAAGGTGCCTTTACATGGGAGCATCGAGTGTCGAGCGTTAAAGCGGTAGCCAATCAACGTGCCACTTTCCGCAAGAACTACAACTATACTTCTGGGACTTGATACATTGATTGGCTAACGCTTTAACGCTCGACGCTCGGACGCTCTTATTTAAAGATACCTTTACGAATAGATGTCCTGTAGGTTACTGCATATAAATTAGATCGCTTTGTTGTCATGGTTACCATTTGTAAACACTGTATAAACACTGTATAGTGATTATAGTTGTAAGTTTATTATTTGTAAGCTTGATTTCAAGTGATATATATAAGTGAACATAGAAACTTTTCTCTTTACTTTTATATTTACTTCTATTTTTTCTTGCTTAAGTGAAAATTTGTATACCAAATGGATTGGGCTAACGATCTCGAGATTACTTCTAAGAAGGTAACGTAGATAATACTTTAGAAAACAGTATTCTCTACTATTTCAGCATTTTTTAAATATTTTAAATACTTTGCGGTTATATGTACACATATTTTATATATAATTTTATTGACATATAGTTTGTTTTCATATTGTAGATTACAAATAACAATACATCAATTAAATTTAAAATCTATATTTCAATGATTTCAATGAAAGAATCAATTATCTACTAATATAACAATCTAATGAGTCAATCAATTTTCAGTTAGTACCACGCCTAGGTAGGCGTGCAGGTCAAAACAATTTACAGGATGAAAATAAATCTGATGATGATGTTCTGGAGAGTCCAATTTCTTTGTCATCTGGAAAGTCTGTCCCTACACAAAGACCAATAGCACCACCTCGTTCTAGGAAAACTGGCTGGGGTGATGAATTGAAAAGTGCCAAGTATGAGATTGTCTTGTTCAAAAGATATCTTGAAAGCAACAGTATAATTTAAAAAAAAGTTATAATATCTACAACATAAGATGTCTCTTTTTTAAGAAATAGAATAATTTTGATATAATTGAAACATGAAATGAATGAAGTAAATTCATTACCTTGAAGTATAATTAGAATAAGTAATTTCTTTTTCATTACTTAGGTCAAAGACAGCATCAAATATTATTGAACAGTGAGTATAATGCATAAAATTAAAGAATCAGACATCTGTAGTCACTGACAGACTGTTTCTTAGGGAACGTTTTCGAGCATTAGAGAAGGAGGAGTTAGAAGATGGTAAGTCTGGAATTAATGACATTAAAGGTGATTTACTTTAATTGGATGTAATCAAAGAATTTCTTTATATCATTTATGTGTTCTTAATTATATAATCTATAAATAATAAAGAATATACTTATGATCATGATTAATCAGTTAATATCAAATATAGTTAATTCTTTTTATGTTATTCTTTCTCTTTGGCATTGTTATCTTTTATGTTTAGATATTCCTGTAATACCAGATTTGGATGAAATTCAGGAAGATAATATTTCACCTGAAATTGCAAGTGCTCCTACGTGAGT